GCCCTGTCTCCTCCAACACCCCAGCCCCTGCAGCCGAGGCCTCGGCGTGGCAGAGACGACAAGCACAGGCCCCCCAAACCTCCAAAATCGACTTTTTATTGGGTATCTTTACACAAGAGGCAGGCGGGGCCCCGGGCCCCTCACCGGGTCCCGATGGTGACCTGCCAGACGCGCACCAGGTTATCCGTGTACCCGGCGAACAGGCAGACGCGCACCAGGTTATCCGTGTCCCCGGCGAACAGGGTCTGCGGGGGGAGGAGAGAAAAGACAAGTCAGTCACAGGCGGGCTAGGGCCTGACGGGGACAGATCTGCCCTCTCCAGGTGCCCAGGGAGGGGCTGAAGCTAATGGGTCAGGGTCTCCCGCCCCGCCCCCCAGCCCTAGGACGGTGGGGGAGGGGGCGTTAAAAGGCCGGGTGCCGGTTACCTGCCCGTCTGCGGCACTGGGGCGGCTCGGCTTTGCTGCTGGTGCTGATCACTTCCTGCTTCAGCTCGTCTACGATGATCTTGCCCTCCAGGTCCTGTGGGGCAGAGGGGCGCGGTCAGAGAAAGGAGCCGGCCGCCGGGGCCCCCCCCCGGCCCAGGACAACCCCACAACCCCTCACCAGCCCAGGACAACCCTCTGCCGGCTCAGAAACAGCCTCTGGGTTTCCGCACGGAGAAGCAGTCAGATTGCATCGTGTGTTTCATCACGGCCTGGCCCCTGGGTACGCTGTCCCCCAGGAGCGTGACGCCCCCCTTCCCCAGCCAGCCAGGGGCGCCGCTCACCCAGATCTTGATGCTGGGCCCGGTGGCAGCACAGAGCCAGTAGCGGTTGGGGCTGAAGCACAGGGCGTTGATGATGTCGCCGCCGTCCAGCGTGTACAGGTGCTTGCCCTCGTTCAGGTCCCACAGCATGGCCTGGCCGTCCTGGGGAGCAGGGGGAGAGCGTGTCAGACAGAAGAAGAGCCCCCACCCCAACTGAACTTTGAAGCGAGGAAACGACGCACTTCGGTGGCCAGGCAGCAAACGGTTCACCTGCGGAACTCCTTGCTGCAGGACAGCACCGAGAGAAAGGGCAACCGATACTGCTAGCGATCCCTGCTACGTGCCCGTCCGACGCCCGAGGGAGTCTCAGAGATGGGGGGGGAAGGGAGGGGTGGAAAACCACCTCAAATTCAAACCCAAGAAGGTTTCCCTTGGGCAGAGGCCCAGGAGCTCAGCCGGCAGAGAGGGGGAAGCAGGCTTGGGGCGGACAGTCGCAGAGCTTTGGGTGGGAGTCCAGGGAGGGTCCCAGAAGGCGGCTCAAGGCAGGCGAGCGGCCGGCAGATCCGGACAGAGGAGCAGAAGGAAGCAGGGACCAGACAGACAGAGGCCGACACCCATGAGTATCCACAGGAGGCGCGTTGCCTCTTCGGCTGGGTCGGGGGGAGCTCGGAGGCGGCCCCGGGAGGCAAGGCACGCCCGGCTACCCCCGGGAACAGCGACCTTGCCGCCGGGGGCGCAGAGGGAGCCGTCGGGGGAGACCGTCACGGTGTTCAGGTAGCCCGTGTGCCCGATGTGGTTGGTCTTCAGCTTGCAGTTGGCCAAGTTCCACACCTGGGGGGCGGGAGAAGGTACCAGGAGCAGCAGAGACCCCCCAGCCGGCCTGCCCCC